GAGAGAGAGAGAGAGAGAGAGAGAGAGAGAGAGAAGAGAGAGAGAGAGAGAGAGAAGAGAGAGAGAGAGAGGAGAGAGAGAGAGTAGAGAGGAGAGAGAGAGAGAGAGAGAGAGAGAGAGAGAAGAGAGAGAGAGAAGAAGAGGGAGAGAGAGAGGAGAGAAGAGAGAGAGAGAGAGAAGAGAGGAGAGAAAGAGAGAGAGAAGAGAGAGAGTAGAGAGAAGAGAGAGAGAGAGAGAGAGAGAGAAGAGAGAGAGAGACAGGAGAGGAGAAGAGAGGAGAGAGGAGAAAGAAAAGGAAAGAAGAGAGAGAGGAGAGAGAGAGAGAGAGAGAGAGAGATCAACCAGGCTTGCCTGTCGAGTCTGTGCCAGCTTGGTCAGTGTCGGCGTCGTGTAGATGTTGATACCATTCACCTTCTTCTCCTCTTCCTGCCGCAAAGCCGACCAGGTTCAGCAATTGACACATGCAATACTCACGACCATTGGTGTGCGTAAAGGAAGAGAGCCATTCAGAAGAGGACAATGCTTTCACGCGTGACTTAACGACAATGAAAAGCATTAGCACTTGCATAACACGACATGTTGAGACGAGTAAGTGCGTCATAGGGACTTTACTGCATACTCAACTGCTGGGCTAAACGGCACCGCCTGCCTCTTAACCTGGCAGAAAGGAAGGGCACGGCCGGGAATCGAACCCCGCCTCCCTGGTTTCCCAGAAACGTAGATTCTCCAATACAGGATCGGTACCCCCAACCACCTTCAATTTACCAGGAGGTACCGGACAAACGACGATGTCGAGCCACCTTTGAGACGCTCCGTGGAATTCGCAACGTTTCTAGCATTGTTCATGGCCACTCGTGACTAGGGACTCTTTAAGAAAGGTAAAATATTCTCATAAGTACCGGTGAGGGCATATCTCTGTTTAGCCAACATCTTCCGGTATACTGAGGGCCATTTCTTCCGAACAAAAACTCAAAAAGCAAAACGAAACCAAAAAGGTGTTCAAGGCATTTCTTGCTGATCACCATGTTATGCAATAACTTAGCTATAGAACGCCCACCTGTGGTTTGCTATCTTGTGAGACACAGCCGACGTGACAATCGACCCACGGTTATTCTTTTATATTCTACTGAAATTGTTCCCAGTTAACAGCAACTAAGGCGGAAGTCAGATACGGTCATGCAGAGTTTGTGTCCTGTTTTGTCCACTTCAGGTGCGCGCTCGTTTGGAGTAATGTGTTACCTGACGTGTGTGTGATAATGTCTATTTTAAAACATGTCGCGTTTCCACGGATACGTGCTTGAATTATTTCAGGAGGGGGCGCAACCCCAGCAATCGATTAAAGATGCTTGGAAGAAAAAACAATTTCCTGGCAGCAGACGTTACAAAATACAAATGTCCAGCAGGGGACGAGACATGTGTCTCTATGATACCCTTTGACGACAGGTGGCACGCTCACGCGGTATCTCTGGTCGGTGGCCGTGTGTGAGCGCCCCACACCCACCGGTGCCGAGCGCCTCCCTCCCCCCCCCCCCCGCCCATCGACACCGGGTACCACCCCCCCCCCCCCCACCCCCCACCCGCACCGGGGAGCTGTTCGCCGGCGGTCGCCGCTGTTTGCCCGATCGCTGAAGAGCCGCGCTGCGGCCGGCCGTCCGCGCCGTGTGTTTGTTGTTGAGCCGCAGTCCACATTCCCATCGCGTGCCGCTTCGTCCGGCCGGCCGGCCTTTGTGCGCAACATCGCGCCGCCACCTTCAGGCTGTTTGCCAGGCGCTTAGTCACAGCCGTACTCGGGGCGTACCGAGTGCAAGCAGTGCGGACTCTGCCCCTCTCTCGTCCCCCCTTCCGTCACACGAGTGGCGCGAGCTGGTGCCGCACAGGTGCGACGTCGGCAAGTGCCCGGCGGCTGGCGATGTCAGCTCGCTCCATCGACTCTGCTCTCGGCGCCCTTCAGCTCGCGCCGGGCAGACCAGAGAGCCGCAGCTCGCTGCAGGCGCATCGGGCGGCGTCCGCCCCGCTCTGTGCCGCGCTCGCTGCTGAGGCTGCTGATGTAACGGGAGCACAAGGCCCGCACCAGCGCAGCGCCACTCGGCCGTTACGTGTTAGCGATGGGGTAAGCATAGTGACCTGCCCATGCTAACGGCTACGCGTGTCCGCTACGCAATATGGGCGACGTGTAACGCGTATAAGCTTGAGCGGCTTGTACAGGCTCGAACTACGCCTGGGTACCACCACGGTGCACTGACCGCCTTTTCACCCGTGATCAATCTAACTAAACTTGGCAGGTGTACTGAAACGGAAAGGCCACCCGGCTGACAAAAACGTACGTCATAGGATAAGAAGGAAATGTTGCAGCTATTAATCCAGGACGTACGTGGTTAAATGTTTGTCGGGTAAGGTGAGCCTTTTCCGATGAAGAGATATTGGCTTATCTCGAAAGTTAAAGTGTGAGTGAATTTCCGAATTCGGTGGTGAGCTGCGATGTTCTCCACTGGTTGCTTGTTCAAGTCACAGAACTATATTGATTTCGATGCACTGCATAAAACATTGCATGTGTTTCAAAGAATTGTAATTAAGGTGATAACGACGGTCAGCCAAACATGGAAGCGAAGCATTACCCAATGAGACGGTAATGGTACTTCTGCGGTGAGCGTAGATTCCATCATCACCAGCGCGAAATAAAACGCAGTGTTAACCCTCTGTCAGCAAAACCCAACAAGCGAGCTCAACCCGCGGTAGCCGTACCACATATAAGTCTGCTACTGCTGGTCCCGGTATAAACTGCATACATTGCCAGGACACACGTTATCTGAAATTAAATCTGACCGAACCATGTCGGTATTTAAGCATGAAAGAAAGTGCTGGCCAGGTGTGCAGGCTTTGAATTAATCCCCTCATCCTCGCTGCGGTTACCGCAGGTGGGTTCGTTCCACAAAACTGCACATGCCATCGAGGCCCCACTTGGGCTTGACAAATGCTTTATCAAATGCATCACGGAGTCACGAGAGGTATGACAAGCCTGCTGGTGCCGAAAAGCTCGGACCACACCGAAATTTTCATGACAAAGCATTCGAAACAAAGTGCTCTATGGGCATTCATTATATATATATATATATATATATATATATATATATATATATATATATATATAACTGCCTCTAGTGGTACCAATCATGGTTTTGTGAGTACCTATTGCACCGTTATAAGACATGATCAAAGAAGATAACAATCAACGCGGTCTACCAGCCTTCCAGTTACACTGCGTGTAGATTGGCGCCTTCTCATGACCCTTGAGTGTTTCTTCGGTCATCTTTACGCTGTGACATGCCCGCAAAGTGGTCCTCAATATAACCTGGCCTAGGTGCCCAGAATTCAGCAGGGTATTCTGTTGCAAATGATTCCGTATCGGAGCAGAGCAGCGTCATTTGAACCCGATGGCACAGATATTTTGATCGGTATTATATGTACATAGATTACATGGATATTTTGTTATTGGCTTGCATTGGGCGCTGCTCAAAAGGGCGATGTGAAAAATTAGGTTTTCTCACCGCTCTGAATAATTAAAACTGGAGAACCTAGCCTTCGGCAATCGCTTTTTTAATTATTCTTCGGCAATGAGAATAGAGCCGACATAGAATGCGCAGCCTTATATTCGACTTAACAGTCCACATCCTTACGACGGCAAGCAACATCAAGGTCACAGTAGGACTACCCTGTGCGACAAATACCTTACGCTGTTTGCCCTTTCTCGTCTCGCAGTGGGCACTTTAACCAAAAGTGGCTAGCTGTCAGGCAATGAGAGTATTGCCCCTTAATATTGTAAACTTGAGACTAATTTAAGCATGAACTTTGCATAGAAAATGGTCGCGAGGGTAAATCGCCTTCTGCGACAAAATCTAACAGCATCGAACTTGAATGCAGCGCACGTTTGATAACCACACACCAGTAAACCCTAGTTGGGGAAGTATGTCATTCAGCAAGGGTGTGCAAAGCTGGTTTTCATAGGCAGCTGCAAACTTGTAGCATTTTGGAAGGAGGTCCACTTCAGTTCCTTTGAATCGGTATGAGTTACATATCACAATGATTCGTTTGACTTGTCTATTTTACAACCGCATTTGAAATGCACGATGTTAATTTTGTGGGTGTAATAACTGCTCGGGCTTTTATCCTAGTCTGGTGTGTTAGTACAACAAAAATGACGTGAAACCTCTTTGTTGGTTAATATCTATGCACGATCACACTGTCATAAGCATCGTTTCTATAATGATAGATATATTTGAGTATAATTACGATGCTTGTGCTTTTTGGATGGCACGGAGTCTGTACGCAATGTCTACTCAGCTGTTCTTGCCTTTCACTGCTCCCATGGACAGTGAAAAATCACAACATGTACATTCCAGGAAAGGTACAAACACCATTTTCCTGAGATAAGTGATTGCAACAAAGGCGTACAAAATTGCATGCGGTTATTCTCCGAGAGATAATGTGATATTGAAATAATTATGAAAAAGGGAAAACAAGAAACTCAAACATATAAGAAAATAACCCAACTTGTATCTAACTGAATACCAATAATAATAACGGTGATGTATCATAATATAATAGCATTCACAACTAACTAAACCAACACGAGGCATATCAAATAATAATTTACTTTTTCCAATTAGTGCCTCGCCTGAGAGCAGCCGTATCTGCCTGAGAACATCAAAGGCCCGAACAGTGTGGCTTGATCCACCCATGCGTGCGTCCCGGAAGTGGACTGGTGGCCGATGTCCATAGCCCATCTGGGTGGAAATTAGATTAAAATTCGTATTCGGTTTCCCCGCAAGCCATCTGTTGTCTTATACCGTGACGGTACAAAATCACTCCTGCCAGCTGGCTGAAGACGCGTCTGGCACGGCTCACAAGCTTCTAGCCACCGTTCATTTCAGCCGGGGCTGATCAATATGCGTCGCAGAGCAGTTGGTACCTCATTGCAGCTCTGACAGCTCTTTATTCTTAGGCCAGGGCGGCCTGAGAAGAAAGCGATACCAGAGCTGCAATTATGTACCGATTTGTACCGCTTTTCTACCCTGGTGCAAACATTTTCACCCACACCAGCCAATGATAAGAACGGCGAGACGCGAGGGCCGCCTGTGGCGTACCTGTGCAGAGGTCCGGATACGACACCAGGACACCCTGTGGAGCCCCTGTGCACAGACCAATCTGAGGGCACTTGACATACCTCACCCGAGGCAGATAATCCGCGGCCGGCACGGGCCGAACGTACCGGCGGTGGGGGTGGCGGCGGCGGCGGCGGCCGCTGCTCCTGGCGCTGCTGCCGACTGGCCGCGCTGGACTCGATGATGACCTCCTTCTCAGCGTGGCTGATCAGGCGGCCTGGCTCCGGCGCGGCCCGGCCCCCGCTGACCGGGCGTGACCGCTTCAGGCCATTCGTCGGCGGCGACGCGTGGCGCACCGGCGGGCCCGCACCGTGCCGCTCCTGTGACGTCACAACACGGCGCGCTGAGCGGGGTTTGCATGGGGCTCAGATGCATGCCATCAGGGTACGAATGTGAATGCTATTGACTCTAGAATGCATTTGATCAGGGTGAGGCAATTTAATGTAACTGGGAAAAGTGGCTGTATTATCAGAGTAGGGGGTTCTAATTAGGTTAAAGATCCTGCCAGAATGATTATTTTGTCCACGCCAACTGTTGTTGTGCCTGCCAGCCACCTCTCATTAACCTTCAAGAATGGGGTCCCCATTTGTGCACAAGTTGTAGTTGATGCTATGTTGGTGGGCACAACGAATTAGTAATACCGTTTGCCGGCGACGTGCAATGCTAATCGCGAGTTCAGAATCAGTTTCACGCTGTTTGTATTGTTCCGCGGACCAAAGCACTGCGATGTGGAACACTGTTGCTATTGTGACATGTGCCGGATATGACCTCTGCCCGGCATTGCTCTTCCCGACCATTCTGCTTCAAAAACACTAACACTCTCAGCGCCCTGGCCACGCCTTATTAAATGGACGTGAGTATATGTATGGATGCTGACAGTGAGAAGCACATCAGAGAAGTACATCGTTCGAGTTACGTTCGGCCGCTTTCACGTGGCATGTGCCATGCCCACCGACAATGTGGTCTGATTAGACCTGTGAGTTAAGGTCCTGAATCACGAGTTATGTTCGACTGCTTTCACGTGGCATGTATCATGCCCACCGGCAACGCTGGTACTATATATCAGTACGATTGAATGTCGAATTTACCCACGCGCTGTTTCGTTTAGAAGAGGTAGAGCGTACAAACGAGACCTGGGTAACGGTGCCGAAGCGGGCCAGCGTCCCGTGATATGTCAAGCCACGATGAACCGCGCGATTCCGCATCTAACTGCGTACAACTTACAATTATTCAACCTACTGCGTGCAACTTACAATTTTGCAGCTGTCTACATCGTACAGACCCACAATTCCCAGCATGCGCTGTTTCAGCCCTACAGCAGGGAGTAGCGCACCATCGTTGCACCAGCGGGAAGCTCCTGAGCACAGTTGTGACCTGGGAGCTGGGTACAGGGCGAGTGTGAAGGCGACTACAGCTGCCCGGCTGTGGACCGGCCGGCCAACCAAGGACGCGTGCGGCTTGGCTCACGGGCCGGTAATTTCACAGCGGAAGCAGGGCCGGTCGGTCACGGAATGTGTCGTGAAGCTATAAGGCCAGTCCGCCGGAATGCCGATCAGGAAGGTCTGTGGATAGCCTTGCAAATGAAGGTCGACGTCTTCTGGGAGGTACCCTATAACAGCCTGGTCAGTCTGAGAGTGTGCCAATCGATATTCAATGAGAACGGTATTCTACGGCACTTCTCTACACGAGCCAATGCGACAGCGATATAAAAATCGGTGTCCTAAGGAGTTATCACTGGAAAATACCTAGACCGCTACAAACCCCATTCACTCAAATACGCTCTCTTACTCAAATAGATAACCAAGGTCGATTATAACGTTTCGCTCGAGGCCACTTACAAGACAAAGCCGGGGCGGTCCGACGCCGCGGTCCACATGCTTTACAAGGAGGCCGCCGGTAATTGCAGACAGGGGCCAGTGTGGCACGTGTTTGCTGGCACGTGACGCCCGAACGCTGACCCGGCTCTAATCTGCGTCCACCGTCGCCCGCGCCGCGCAGCGCGCGCCACTGTGGACGCGCCCACCGTGGACGTGGACGGGGACCCGTAAACGCCGAACAGTTTCCCAAAAGTAGGTGGCAGCGACTGTAATGGGCCGGTGATGGAGCAGTGAAAACGGGCCCCAGCCGGCGCTGTTGGCGGTAGAACACATGCACGCCGGCGAAACGCCGCCAGCTGGCGGTGGCTGCCGCAGCGGCGGCTCGATCCCGCCAGCCTCGCCGGATTTGTCGCAGGAATCTAGGAGCCATCGCCGCAGTTTAGTCAGTGTTTGTCAGAACGAAGTGAGGTTTTGGTATCACAGACGCCTTTAAAGCTGTCGTGTGATCAGGTCACCTAAGTGGCTCGGCGACGTCAGGCGACGAGCGGCGCTGATAATGACCGCCTAGTGGACTGAGACATCGAGGTGCCACGTCTGAGTCATCGAGGTGCCTCGTCTGAGTCATCGAGGAGACGGATGGTCGCGGCTGGTGTGGTCAAATGATCTCAGCCGTCTGAAGGCTTCCATGTCCGTCACCTCACTTAAAGTGAGCCGTGTGTACATCGCTATGGCCGGCGGTAAGTTGAGGAAACGGCTGATGTGTCTTCAAAACCCCTCAATGGCCCGGACAGCGAAGCCATATGATTTGCAGTTTGGGACCATTCGACTGGAGCTCGCCGATCCGTCCCGTGCTGAAAAGGTCATGCAGAGCAAGGCACCGGTGATCCAGTGATCCCCTCCCGATGCGGGTCAGCGGTGGTCCAGTGATCCCCTGCCGGAGCAGATCAGCGGTGGTCCAGTGATCCCCTCCCGGAGCGGGTCAGCGGTGTCCAGTGATCCCTCCCGATGCGGGTCAGCGGTGTTCCAGTGATCCCTCCCGAAGCGGGCCAGCGGTGTTCCAGTGATCCCTCCCGGAGCGGGTCAGCGGTGGTCCAGTGATCCCCTCCCGGAGCGGGTCAGCGGTGGTCCAGTGATCCCCTGCCGGAGCGGGTCAGCGGTGTTCCAGTGATCCCTCCCGGAGCGGGTCAGCGGTGGTCCAGTGATCCCTCCCGGAGCGGGTCAGCGTTGGTCAAGTGATCCCCTCCCGATGCGGGTCAGCGGTGGTCCAGCGATCCCCTGCCGGAGCGGGTCAGCGGTGTTCCAGTGATCCCTCCCGGAGCGGGTCAGCGGTGTCCCAGTGATCCCCTCCCGGAGCGGGTCAGCGGTGGTCCAGTGATCCCCTCCCGGAGCAGATCAGCGGTGTTCCAGTGATCCCCTGCCGGAGCGGGTCAGCGGTGTTCCAGTGATCCCTCCCGGAGCGGGTCAGCGGTGGTCCAGTGATCCCTCCCGGAGCGGGTCAGCGGTGTTCCAGTGATCCCTCCCGGAGCGGGTCAGCGGTGTTCCAGTGATCCCCTCCCGGAGCGGGTCAGCGGTGGTCCAGTGATCCCTCCCGGAGCGGGTCAGCGGTGTTCCAGTGATCCCTCCCGGAGCGGGTCAGCGGTGTTCCAGTGATCCCTCCCGGAGCGGGTCAGCGGTGTTCCCGTGATCCCCTCCCGAAGCGGACCAGCATGACGAGATCCGCACCGAGCCTGCGCATCGCCAGGCGGTGGACGGCATGTTTTTCACACCTCGATAGTGCTAGGAGCGATGACCAGCCGCGGCGCCCGGCTAATCACCTTATCAATCACGGTGGTCTGGCGCCGAGTCGGACGGGATCCCTGCGTCGGTACGCGCTCCCCGGCCACCGCGCCGCGGGCGCCGCACTGAGTGGCTCAGAACACGTCGATGTCATTGTGAGCGGACAAGGTTCTGGACTGTGTTTGCGCTGCCCCTGTATGATCTGTAGAAATTTTGTGTGGGGTGCGTCGCCGACCCGTGTTGAAGCTGTAGTACTGTGTCGGCCTGGAGGCAGTGATCTCGCCGACCGCGGGATGGAGTGTGGCGTAACCGTTCACTACGAAGATCGAGGAATGCACTAAGCTTCAAGACCAGTGACGCACCACTACGAAATCTCGCTGCCGAGATAAGCTTCTTACAGGCATAAGTAAGTAGGTACTTCAAGGCCACCATATAAGCACCTATTTAGCTATATGCTCTTAGCCTGCATCAGATTCTGGACACCGTGAGGGGCAAAACAGCATTATGGATAGTCTGTCAGACGCAAAGAGCGGGGGTGCGCAATCAAAAGCGCCATCCAGCGTGATCCATCAGCCGCATGACGGATCACGTACATATCCTGAGCCGCTTGGGCTTGTTAACAACAACGCTGCGCTCACAGCAACACACACGAGCTAATCACAGCCGCACGGCAGCGGGCTGCGGCAGGCACTCAGCGGCGGCGCCGAGTAATTCCGGGAGGCGCACGCGACCGGACGCGGCGGCTGCAGCTCACCTCCCAGGTGCGCACGCTGGGCATCGGTCCCTTCACCATGACCGCTGCTGCCGACCCGTCCCGGCACCGTCCAGCTCCAGCGGCGCGACGACGGCGGCGCGCAGTCCAGCGACGGACACTTTTGGACTCGGCGACAGGGAGTCCCAGTTCACCGGCGGAGGATCCCAGCGCAGAGCTGGTGACTCGCAGCCGGTAGAGCGCGACTCGCCGTCGGGCGAGGGCGCGCGCCAAATGCCACCGGCGTCAGCGGTGACGGCCTGCCGCGGCGGTCCGACGGCTCGCGTCGCGCCGGAGGCGGTCGCTTTCGTGGCGCCGCGGGCCGGTCGGTACGCACCTGCCGCGCGTCCGGTACGCCGCCGATGGAGTGCGCCCACCTGGCGGGCCGCCGCCGGCCGCTGATAGCCGTCTGACGTCACGGATGACAGCGGGGCGAGTCGTCGCAAGTGGGCCGCGCGCGTCACGGGCGCCGCCGACCCGTCACGCGTGGGCCTCGCGCGGCGGCCGCCCGGACAGTGGCGGCGCGCGCCACCGCCGGCCCGGTCCGTCAGAGGCCGCCGAGGCCGGCGCCAGGCGTATCTGGACAGTCGGCCGCGAACGGACGAGAGTTATGTCCTGGCGACTGACCGAGCCGGAGGAGCGGCGCGCCCGCCGCCGCACAGCTCACTGACTGGAGCACCCTCCCCCACTCCTGCCTCCGCCCCCACGCCACCTGGGCTCGAGGCCGACCCGCGGCTTTGCAGCGGCTTACCTCCGCCCTCCCCCCCCCCTCTGCACCCTGCCCCCTGATCGCATCATTCGCGGCAAAAACGTGGCGGCGGCGCGCATGCAGCGGCGGCGCGGCGCGAGCCGGATCCATCGGCCGATACGGCGCCGAGCGCGGAGGGCGCGGCACGCGACGGCCGGCCGTCGGCCGCGTCGCGCCGGGCATCGGCCAGCGGCCCCGACGCCGCCGACTTGTGGGGCTTGATGGTGTCTGGTGGCCCGACACCGGCCGCCAAACACGACCGCCCTGCCGGCTGTTTACAAGGCGAAGGTACATCGAGTGGTTTCCTTATGTTGGGTCGGCCTGTCCGGCCGCGTGTGGCATTGGGTTCCCGGCATGTGTTGTATGCACGACGAAAAGTTTAAGTGTTCGAGTAGCGTGTATTTAGGACAGCGGTTAATTGGGAAAGCTGGTTACATGCATGCGCATGCACGCTAACTAGGACATCATTAAAAGGAACAATTTACAGTTGAAGATATTAAAGCAAGCGTCAGATATGACGAAACAAGCTCGCCTATAACTATTTGTGTGCTTTTTAAGTGGAAACGATTGTTTTAGACAGCACAATTCTCTGTTTGGTACATACTCCTCAATGCGTCATGGTTTTTGATTTCGTTATCGTACCTTGCACAACATTGGCTGACAGCCAATTGACGGCAGCTATATCTGCAAACCGCGCTCACGAACGCCAGATATAAACGCTCCAACGCTCCAGTCCTTTTTTGCCCCGATAGCCGCATTGCTTATGGAATGGCAGGATATGAATGACGTTAGCATGACGTCATGAATATCAAGTTGACTTTGAACTACTCTCCTCGATATACTTTTTCCCATTTTCGCAGGCGAATAGCCCAGAAACTAGAGGGGCTTAGGTCTTAAGAAGTGCAGAATTGTGAACAGCACCGAGAGGTTCTCAACATGGCTATTTCAGTTCAAACCCGCACATAAATGTGGCACACTCCTTTTAATTAACGGAACGTCTTCGTTCCCCGGCGATCGTCCGTGTGCTAAATGCTCCCCGGGCTCCCTCATCCGCAACGCGAGAAATGCCTGCTTGCGTCACTTACCCGCAATATCCGTGCAGACGCAGGTTCATCGGTTTCCTTGTGGGCGAACATCCTCTTATGCGCCTGCTTGAATTCCTCCATCAGCTGAAGCAAATGGATCAGGGCATTTGCGAACGGTTCAATTGTGGAGCGGCGAAGGGCAGTGCACTAGCGAAAACATGCCTATCAGACAGTTCATCTTGTGCGGGAATCGGGGTTTACATCCGAGCACCGCGGTACTGCACTCGTTTCGTGGCACTGCCAGGTCAAGGGGATTTAAGCGTGTCACCAGCTGGGTTTCTCTACCGCTTCCCCTCCCCATCACTCCACCGCCACAACCTGCGTGGAATACTGAGATTCGCCACCGACAACCGTTACGGCTTCGCAAACAAGTTCACATGTGAGTGAAGGTCAAGCATATACGTAACCAAACGTCCCCAAACATTTCGCAGTCTTTTTCTTGGAGACCTTTCAGTGCAACATAAGACAAAATTATTCTGAGGGTCGGAATGTTATCGGAGCGGCATGATTTCAAGCACGCTGAACGCCATGTTCCATTTGTGAGCGCGTCCTGATCCCATTAGTGAGGCCGGGTTCGAATGGCAGTGTCCTTGCGTCGAGCGACAGTATGACATCGAATGCATAGCTGCATGCGAAGTGCTGCATTCCGGCTGCTATATCGCCAGCCGCCATCTACAAAAAGCGTTAAAGAACTCGCTTACATTAATGATGAAGGTAAGTACGACAGTCGTAAACGCCGCAGTCGAGTGAATATGCCGCCAGTTAGATTATGCACGGCATTTAAAGTCGCACCGACAAGAAGCTCTTGACAGGACAAACATTCGCTTTACACCGTCAACATACGATGGCAGAGCTACTGTGACTCTGATCATATGACGTCAAGGAGCATGTGCGGATGTGCAGGCCAAAGGATCGCGATAGGTGTGCTCAATGGCCATGATTGGCAACTCAGTTATCTTCAGTTTGTTGCCTGGATCATCAATGCAAAACAGCATGTGGGAATTCAAAACAAGGGGAAGCATGCCCGTAACATTTTAACTTCAGGATATTGTGAAATGGGTTTAGTGGGATTAAACGATTGATAAAATGATTAGTTCAGCAACGGCTTTTGTCAGTAAGCCGGCCGTTGCTTTGTCAATGCTTAGAAACAGACAAGCCAGAGACATGCGTTTTGTGACCTAGAGCAACACTAGGTTCAATGCATGAAGTGACAACAAAACAGCTAATACATGACGAATTGTTCACACCGAAGTGCTGCATAACGCTGGTAATATAAACTTAACACACAACGGTAAGAAACAATTCGAAGTCCTCGTCGGCGGCATTGCAGTTCTCTGAAGCAGTCCGCCCAACCGACATTCAATCGATTTCAGGAGGTGTGTCTGGCGCGTCCGACGCTTAAAAGCCACAGCGTTCAGAGTTTGGGCACTTGAGGGGGACATGTGGCCGGCACTCCACGGCAGTTGGACGGGCGCGGTCTGGGCCACAGCTGCGTCGTCTCTTCCATCAGCGCGAACGGCTGGGCGGGCAGCCGGTAACGTCTTCACCGCTGGCGAGTTGGCCGCCTCCGGCGGCAGACGGTGAGCGCGTGCAGGCTGCGGCGTGGCGTGTGACGGCACGGGCCACCTCCAAACGGTTTAGAGCACACAGACCGTTCGGCCTCGCCCGCGTGGAGGGCAGAGAAGGCCTTGGCTGGATCTCTGAATGTTTTCGAAGACGGCATGATTTAGAGACTCCTTTGGACCATTTCAAACGAAGTCCAGCCACTGCAAGAGGCCGAGGTGCGTGGCCGTGACCTGCCTGGTGTTTGACCGTCAGCGCTCCCACGCACCGGCCATGCCAGCCAGAGCCTGCAGCCAGCTCCTCCCGACATTCCAGCGGCCGGCAGGATCCGTGTCAGTGGCGGCGGCACCCATTGTTCAAGAGAGGGCGCTCCCCTGTCCGGCGGACTTCGTCAGGTCGAGAGCGGCCGGTCCGGCACGACCTGGCCTGGCCGTGGCCTGGCCTTCGCCCCCCGTGCCGTCGGCCGCCAGCCGTGAAATCACGGGCGTGGCGGCCGTCAGCGACGCCCGGCTCCGTAAACACGGAGCGCCGTCGTAAACAGGGCAGCGCGAGGCTGGCACCGCTGCAGGAGTCCGCCACACCGCGCGCTCCTACGGGACCGCCGGTCGAAGCCGAGTGCCGATTGCCCGCGCGTTGATCAGAGGTCGGTTAATTATGCACGTTGTTTGCATCGGGCGGAAAGCAGGGGAGCAGCGTGCTGCATTGCAATTCGAGCTGTACATGTCCAAGCAATTCATTCATAAATCAGCCAGCCTGAGCTCACTGGAATCATTTTCAGCGCTGAAAGGGACGCAGACGACGACAAACTTAGCTCCGGTGATGACATAACTGCATTCGCGCCGTGATGGCATTTCCTGCGTCGCCGCAACGAACAGGAGCTCGGCGCCGCTCGCATGTGCACCCACGCACCACCGCCGGTCGGTGCTGGCCGGGGTACGGATGGCGCTCGCGGGCCTCAGGAGGCTGCGGGGGTGTGGTGGTGGGGGGGGGGGAGACCTGTGGGGCGGTGCTCCCGCCTCGCCCCTGTCCGCGGCTGAGCCGATCGATGCCGGGCTAGTCCCGTGCCGTCCATGTCCGACACGTCCCGGTGCTCAGGCGAGCCGCCGTGACCGCAGCGCCACGGCCGTCGCGGGCAGCGTGAGCGCGCCAGTCACGCGCTCGACCAATCGAACCGCACGCCGTAGGGAGGGGGAGCGCGGTCTGGGTCTGGCCGGCACTAATAAGGAGCAGCCAGTCCGGCTAACGATGTGAACGGAGCCGACACAGCCCCCGCCAGACCCGCCGCAGCCTCCGCTCGTCCTCTCTCGAGCGGGCGGCCCGCAGAGACGGCACGAATCTCCACCCAGGCTCAAGCTGGCAGAGATTTCGGCGTCACAGGACTCCGTCGCTTTGGCGCCGGGTAAGATTGTCCCGTCACAATATCCGCTTGTGGTCGAGCGAGTTCGTCTTTACTGACGTAACTGACCTTCGCCCGGACGCGCGGCAGCTGGTTATGTCGGACGTGTTCACGGCAGATTCACTCTCGATGGAATGCGGAGCCCAGGTGAGAGCGCGGAGCGCGCCACGGCTGGGCCTCCGGCGCGAGGGCGCGAGCCAGCGCTGACCTAGACTGCCGCCGCGCTGCCGCACCGCAAGCCGTCAGCCCAAATCAGTTCAGCTTACTACGCTTTTATGCAATTGCGGTTGCGAAGACCGCGACCCAAGTGCTTCGGGCGCGAGCATAGCGTGCTGAGGCTGGGATTAGCTCTCGTTTGGCCGTACGCAATTCGGGTCAATGGGATCGCGGGACACGGAGACGACGGTTACAGCGGCGATGACAAGACGGCCAGTCACTCCGTCATTTGGGTGGTCTAGACAGGAGATCATTAGCGGGTCCGAGGTGGCGAAATGTTCACCTGAACATCGACTGGCGACCAGCTTCGTGCACAGGCTCTTGGTGAGCTCGTTGTGAGCGTTCACTTAAGGGGACTCAAGTCAGTTTAGAGCATATCGGATCTTAAGTCTCATGAAATGAGGGGAGAGGTAATGTTGTGTCTTCAGTTCGTTTTTAATGGAAACGAGGACCATTCCAAGCTACAGCTCACGAAATAATTGTGCGTTTGATAAATCAGTCACATAATAGCATTACAGAACCAACAGCTTAAAAATATTACGCTCAGGCAAGTAATGGTCTCCAGGCATCAAACCAGTGGTAACAGAGTGAAACCGAAACACAGCTGCCAGTGAGACTAGAAGTCGCACCCTTCAGTTCACTAGCACGTACCACTCGGCTAACCTCAACCCAGCAGGCTATAATCTGAGGTGTATTCAGAGCTATATCCTTGTGCAGATTTGTTACATGGAGTGTCACCGCACCCTACAACAAACAAATGTGCTTACTAACACCCACCAAAGCTCAAACATCGCAAATCGGCCTCAGACGGCCTTTCTGCGTCCAAAGCCCGTTCTCCGGAAAATAAAGTCATCTTTATATATATATATATATATATATATATATATATATATATATATATAGCACCGCATGATCTAACTGAATATACCCAGAATAGAATAGACGTTGAAATAACATCTAGAATAGATGTGATTTCAAAGAGACCCATGTAATGGTCGAGAGACCCTCGCTACCAACTAGGAGATCTCCAATCTGAGCTAGGAGGGTTTTACATTCTACATTCACCTCTTTACCTCTACATTCAGGGAACCCCATTTCTGGAGCAGGAGTCCCTTTTTATGCATCAGATGGCTGCGGTTCCGGGATCAGGAGGCCCAATTTTGGGATAAAGAAGCCCTTTAGCTAGATGTAGTAATCCCATTCGTGAACCAGAAGCATCTTGTTCTGGATTAGGAGGCCCCACTATGCGTCAGGAGGCTGTACTCTGTTGTTTTTCAATTAGTGATATTTTTACTTAGATTGGAGACGTATAACAATTTGTTACGGAGCCACATGCCGTTCGGTGCCCCTCCCCCTCCGTTAATGCGACAGTGCCCAGGAGGCCCCCCGGTAAGGAAGCACCGTTTTGTCCAAGAGGTCGCCAGGAACATCCTGCCCCCTCCCCCTCCTCGACCTTCAAATTTGCAGCACCGCCTCTGGTCGTAATGATGCCGGTGCTCGCACTCGTACATCACCAGCACCTGCCACATATGTGTGCCTTTGTCGCAGAAGGAGAACAATGCAATAAGGAGATGCCGCAGATTATCGTACCTTGCCATCATACTGCCACCGACAAACAACAGCTCTACGACAAGCAAACGATGCTATAAATACACTAAACATATCACATGCATATTATAAAATTAGCATAGTGGTCTCAGCACCACACCTTTTGCTTCAATCAACAGTTCTGAGACGCAGCGTGTTGAATGTGCTGACCGATGTATCTTGAGTCAGGACTAGCATCTGGTGATTTGTATTTGTAAATGTAAATTTCCAATCTTGTATGTAAACGCCAATATGTCATTGGCGTTTCTTTCTTTTGGATCGGGTCACTCTAAGTGCATAGAATAAACACATGTGAGAGCTTAGCCGCATTGATATAGCCACGCAGAGCCCTTCAGCAAGCATGAGGCAGTCCGTCATGCACAACTCAAGTAGTCTGAACACGAGTTTGCAACGCTGCAGCGATAGATGACAATTTGCTTTAGCGGCACACGTTATAGTCCGGTCTTATCGATACCGTTGCAAATTGCGATAGATGCGGACTGCGGAAAATGTCAATAGTGGTGCTTGTTGCTACGATAAGTGGGCACAGTATGTCGATAGTCCTCGACGGAAGCAAATAGCTCGTCACTATCAGCATTGGAACAATGCTACAATATTGCCGCTCATTCATCTCTTTTGTGGTCTGTTCAGAGCGTGTCCGAAGCGCAGCAAGCAAGAAATGTCTTGGTTCTGAATAATAAAAGGACATAGGAACACGCACACACGCAAGCACGCACCACACACACACACACACACACACACACACACACACACACACACACACACACACACACACACACACACACACACACACACACACACACACACACACACACACACACACACACACACACACACGCACACACACGCACACGCACACGCACACGCACACGCACACGCAACGCACACGCACACGCACACGCACACGCACACGCACACGCACACGCACACACACATACACACACACACACACACACGCCACAAAAACAGCTATCGTAGCCAACAGCTGAACTGCACCAGTCTCCATTGTCACTGTCCCACATATCACCAATTCCCCCTGCACTGACCTGGTCGTGCTGCTGCTTGCCCCGCGGCTCGTCCACGGTCGTGACCCCGTCCGAGGCTTGCGGCAGGGGTCGTCGGCAGGTGGGGACCAGCGTGCTGGTTGACATCATAGGCGGCGGTGGAGGACACTGGCCTTCCTGGAGGTCAGACGAAGACATCCTTCAGGCGGCCGTCAACTATGGAGCCGACGCGCGGGGTGCGGTGTTACGATCAGAGACACAACGTTGGGCGCTAACCCGCCACAGATGGCCCGGTACGAGCCCGTTAGCCTTTTACACGGGGTGGGCTAAACATAGTGAATTTAGGCACGTAAACAAATATACCCATGTCCGTGGGCGCATTTTCTGGCTTTTTGCTTGTCGACAGGACGGGGAGGGCCTCGGGCTGGCATTTTGGAGAACAGTTGCGCCTCTAGTGGCGACATATGGCGCAATATATATATATATATATATATATATATATATATATATATATATATATATATATATATATGAGGCATCGCAGAGGCAGGCAGCATATTTTGATAAGTGAATACACAATGATGGTGGCGACGTTGGCAGTTTACACGAAGGCTCATGCCTTTAAAACATTTGTTCAAGGTGTCTTTACATTTTGTAGGAGTAAGCGTAGGTGCTCTTTGGAAAATATCGAATTTCCAGCGTTTTTCGGTAGGGCGTTTTTCTTCCTCAAACGAGCAGTTCGTCACAGAATATTGACTGCTTGAAACTTCTTACAATAAAATATCGATTCAGGGTTTACTGTAATAATTTCCAGCTGTCCTATAACAGTTAATACTCTACGTGTTTTGAAAATACCTAGCATTAAGGTACATTACTAAGGCTTAGTAATCATAATGAACAAAGTTTATTTCCAAAAAATAAACTACACTAAACCAATCGTGGAGAACGGTCCAGCCACTGGCACACTCCCTGAGGACGACAGTCAGGCTGGTGTCACACCGCTGAGGAGGAGGACATTCAGGCTGCTGCCACACCCGCTGAGGAGGACAGTCAGGCTGGTGTCACACCCGCTGAGGAGGAGGACGGTCAGGCTGCTGTCACACCCCCTGAGGAGGGCAGTCAGGCTGGTGTCACACCCGCTGAGGAGGAGGACATTCAGGATGCTGCCACACCCGCTGAGGAGGACAGTCAGGCTGGTGTCACACGCCCTGAGGAGGACGACAGTCAGGCTGGTGTCACACCGCTGAGGAGGAAGACATTCAGGCTGCTGCCACACCCGCTGAGGAGGACAGTCAGGCTGGTGTCACACCCGCTGAGGAGGAGGACGGTCAGGCTGCTGTCACATCCCCTGAGGAGGAGGACGGTCAGGCTGCTGTCACACCCCCTGAGGAGGGCAGTCAGGCTGCTGGCACACGCCCTGAGGAGGAGGACAGTCAGGCTGCTGCCACACCTGCTGAGGAGGACAGTCAGGCTTCTGCCACACCTGCTGAGGAGGACAGTTAGGCTGCTGCCACACCTGCTGAGGGGTTGACCGGTCGGGCTGATCTAGCTCCTCGCTGCTGCCGTCGCCCTGGCCGCGCAGGGTGGCGGGAGGCGCCGGCGGCGGCGGCGGCGGCGGACCGCTGGGACGGACGCCGATTTGCAGCCGGGTGACCGCGCCGGCCACGCCGACAGGCGCCAGCTCCGACTCGGCCCACTCGGCCTCGATCTCGTGCCAGCGGCGGTGCCGGTCAATGGTCAGGTGACCCGGGGTCGGGTCACCCGGGGTCGGGTCGGCCGCGGCGCTCCGCTGTAGCTCGGTCGAGGACTCCGGCGCCCTGCGGCAGGCGGAGGGTCACGGGTCACCGGGGCGAGGAGCCCTCCTCGGCAGGTGCCGCCACCGCTCACAAGCGTGCGACTCGGCAGCGGACGGTGAAAGCACTAGGAGATGAGACCCGCATTAGGCACAGCTGCAATAAGAAGCTGCATGACAAAGCGTGCCGATGTCGCGCAGCAGGCGTCGGGCGGCAAGAAGGGAGTGTTCCTGGCCCCGGTCAGGATGGTATCTGAGTGGGTCGCCCCTCACCGCGCAGACGCGAGTACAGCGACCCCTCACCGAGTGTGAAGCAACCACAAGTGGAATGCAGTCGGAGAGGCGGGGAGGTGTCGAGTTGCGACACGACTGCAGTCAAAACTGTCACAGTCCTGGATTAGCGCATGGCTGCCATTCCAATGGGACATGCAAATGTAAGGCAAATCGCGCCAGTGCAACACGCTGTCCGAGCATTAGTGCAGCGAGCGGCGTGACAAGCCCATGCATGCAACAACGCTTGGACATTACATAGTGAACAGTCCTCACGAACTTCTTTAGTGCATGCTGCAATGCGAAAATCGAGTTGTTAAGACTTGTAGAACCAATGCCGTAACCAGGAGTTTCGGTCACAAAGACACAAATCGAGCAACGCACAGTAGTATTGAAGTACAATATAAGACAAGCTATTCCAATTCCATTTGCAATTAAAATTGTCATACAGATAGCGAGACGCTGTCGCAGTGGTAAAGCGGCTGGCCAGCTGGGCGTGACCCGCAGAGAGCTGCGTGCTCGCTGACCGCGGGGAGCGTTGTCAAGTCTGGGCTCGATTGCCACACAACGCGCTGCGTTTCTTGGACAGGCACGCACTTTTGGCAAACAGAACAGAGCAACATCGTTCCAAAGCTGCTGCCATTTGGGTGACCAAACTCCGTGGTGGCATTACGAGCCAGCCATACCGTATTCGAGCTCTTAGCTTCACTGGCATTCGCCCAGTCTGCAGGGCTGGCTAGGCGGTGTTGAGAGCAAGCCATGAGGCCGCACAAAACTGAATGTGCGTAGAGTCATGAGAGTGAAAGAGTGGCTTATCCAATCGTCCATTTCACTCTCAACCACGCACATTCATACTTGGAGCGTCTGGCTGTTTATGATCATGATCGTGCCTGGGACCGCTATCTGGTCGAGTTGGTGCATGGCTGACCCGTCGAGGGCCGTTCGGTCCACGAGAGGGTGTTTGGTCCACGAGAGGGTGTTTGGTCCACGAGAGGGTGTTTGGTCCACGAGAGGGTGTTTGGTCCACGAGAGGGTGTTTGGTCCACGAGAGGGTGTTTGGTCCACGAGAGGGTGTTTGGTCCACGAGAGGGTGTTTCTTGGTCCACGAGAGGGTGTTTGGTCCACGAGAGGGTGTTTGGTCCACGAGAGGGTGTTTGGTCCACGAGAGGGTGTTTGGTCCACGAGAGGGTGTTTGGTCCACGAGAGGGTGTTTGGTCCACGAGAGGGTGTTTGGTCCACGAGAGGGTGTTTGGTCCACGAGAGGGTGTTTGGTCCACGAGAGGGTGTTCGTTCAAGACTTGCTCCGTAGCACAACTTCGTAACAAATATTTTGCAGGTTTCGAAACCTCAGGGCACAAAATGCGTTGCCAGCGTCGCACCCGTTGCCGAACTAGATAGAGTGCCTGTCATACGCGTTGCAGCATCCCTTGGCATTCAGTGGTGCAATCATGGGACCGGGAAAAGTGATAGCCGCATTCAATGTTTGGTGCAATAGCGGTATCGCCTGCGATCGACAACACTTGCAGTTTTTACCCAAGGGCTGATGGGTCATGTGATCATGTTGTTTTTCTATCTGAGATCATCTGGCATGTGAGTCATGACGCCATCGGCCACACAAAATATGTTACAGGTTGCGCAAATCTTCGATCGAATCCAGGTTCACTAAGCACCTGTTATAATGACCGCGTAATAGCATTTCAGTCTGCACAAAACGGGAGTTTGTGCTCTTGCTCTCCGAAATCACGCAAGAGGGTGTCAACCTGGCATTCACCGAGGGGGGGGGGGAGTTTGCACTCCCCTTGTCGAATATGCGCGATTATTCAAAAGCGCATTGAGATATCGGTGGCTAATTTTTAGTAGCTTTCAGTTGATTGATTACATGCCCAGTGCCAAAATATTAAGCATGAGGCGATAATGGAGCAGGCATTGGTGACGTCAGAGTGATGTCATGCTTGCCAACTTTTTATGAAGGCTATAGCCATAGAGAAATTGGCAAAAAAGACGAACAAAAGAAGATATTTGATATCAGTTCACGAAACATGTGACGTAATTAGTTCGTCATTCTTAGGACTTGTCCCAGTGCTCCTTCAATATTGCGCATTGAAATACTGACATGACAGCTAATAAAAATTCCCATTAAAAAACGCACCATTTTATCGATCCTTGAATAAAAATGTGGAATAAATCAAACAGTAGTCCTAGATATGACAATGAGAATGCCTGTACCAATTTTCAAGCGGTTTTCTGAAACAATGGCCGATTTATGGCTTGAAGCGCATCGCAGAGCACGTTTCCGGCGCCCAGGTGGCCCCAGGGCCTTGGCGGCGGGCGGCGGGCGGCGCGGCTGTCGCGGCGGCGTTCTGGCCGCGCGGTGAAAGCCGCTTCAGTTTGTTGTGTGGTCTGAGACCGTACTGTAGGTGCTGTCGATTGTCATTTGAATTTCTGAACTCGGATCTGGCGTTCCTGAGATAAACAGTGGGTCAAATCTGACCCCTCCGGGCAATGGTGTGCCCCTGAGGAGCCCGATTAATGCCGGATTCATAATGGTCAACGGTCAGGGTCACATCAGTGCCAGATCATAGGGGGGTTGTGTTGGGGTCAAATGGCTAGACACTTTGTTTCTTCTCCTCTGGTTTGCATCACGCGTAGAAGGCATTGGTGTGGAAATGCGTCGCATACGTCGACTTATTTATCGCAAAGGGGTGCAGCGTGTCATTTTTTATTCCACACTCATAATTTGACCTCACATGATTTGTGATGATGGCCTGTGATCCATGTAGTGTGACTGACGCTGACTGATAGGCAGTCAAATCGGTGGCTCGGCTACTTACTTCAAAGCCATTGAGAAGAAGATAAGGATCTTGGGGTTGTTTTTGGGTGGGGAGACAAATTATCCTACTAACCTTCAACAATGACGTCATAACCCAGGGATTTATTCTATTACCACAAACCGTTCTTTTCAGAATGTGTTTCATTGGTCGCTTGTCGGTTTTAGTAATTTGGTGGACCTGCATGGCACTACCCAGAATTTATTCTCGAGATTTTGATAGGAGTACTTTTCACACCCAGCCGGTCCTGAGTTGCACAGTGTCTGTTACACTCAAGATCATTTCATATCAAGGGTGAAATAGACGCATGACCAAGCCCAGGTTGAGCTAGTTAACATTCCTTGAGTGCAAAGGAGCCCATTTAATTTATGGGGATTCATTCAATCATCAAATGGGGATTTATTTAAGATAGCTATGTTGATGTCGACATCAACAGACCCAGCGATTTACCATAGGCACTTTCATCCTTGGACGTAGCAACGATTACAGTGTTGCTGGGTCCCTGTTTATTTTGGTGCAATTTGACATGATCAAAACACAGCGGAAGTGCAATTTTCCCAAACGTACCTGGAGTCGGAACCTCATCGAACCCGGTGGTGATTATGCTCACAATTTCATCCAAGTCACGTCACAAACACGCCCTATTTCACCTATGTCCCCTTTGGGTGCCGGTCCTACCGCACTAGACGAGCAATTAACAGAGACTCCGGCATACTGCGTCGCTGTTAGGTCCGGACACACACCGGTCGCAGCTGAAGAGCCCCATCAGAGACGTCTGGGAACAGCGGACCAAGCTGAAGAGCTTCACCAGGGGCATCTGCCGGCAGCGGCCCAAGCTGACACGGTTGTGCCGCTTGGCGTATTCTTGGCAGCCCACTTAGCTGCCCAAGCCTCGCCAAGGGAGTGTCGCACAGTGACCCAAAGTGGAGCCCCCAAGGGAGCCCACTTGGCTCCCCGAGCCTTACTCCCAGGGGACGTACAGACGTCGACCGCACCCGCGCCCAAGCCCGGCGGTGGGGCGGTGCCCGCGCAGCGTCCCGTGGACCTCCGGAAGCGCGTCTATCCCGGCCGGCGGGCTGACCAGGGCATCGGCCCATCGGACGGCGCCTGGCCGTGCCAAGGGCCGCGCTGCCAAGCACATGATTAGCGGGGCGCGCACGCCGGCGGGCGGCGGACGTCCGCGGCTCGGGCCGGCCGGATGGCCGCCGCCCAGTCGGCCGATTGATGCAGCCACAATGGCCCTCGTGCCCTCACAGCCGAAGCCAGCAAGTCGAGCCTGACGGCTCAGCAAGCGAGCAAAAAGTAAAAACGCGCAACATGTGGCAAAGAGACCTGAAGGACAGCCCCTCGCATGCACCTCTTTCTTCTTTCGCTCTCCCAACCCTCATAATCTCTCTCTCCGAGAGAGTTCTTCCCCTATCTCCTGCATCATCGATCTCGATCTCTCTCCCTTCTCTCTCTTCTCTCTCCTCTCGCTAGAGGTAGACTAGAAGCCTAGATCTCTCTCGTGCTCTCTATAGAGAATCGCTTCTCTTTCTTCTTCTTCTCTCTCTCTCTCTCTCTCTCTCTCTCTCTCTCTCTCTCTCTCTTCTCTCTTATCGCTCTTCTCTCCTCATCTCTCTCCTCTCTCTCTCTCTCTCTCTCATCTCTCTCTCTCTCTCTCTCTCTCTCATCTCCATACTCTCTCTCCTCTCTCTCCTCTCGCTCTCTCCTCTCTTCTCTCATTTTTCCTTGTCTTGTCGCTTTCCGCTCATCTTCGTTGTCTGTGTCTGTCATAACGTATCTCTCATTCTATACGGTTCGGATGAGATGCTTTAGGGAAAATCCGGTGCATGATCCGTGCTCTTCGGTGTTTTTTGCACCTCCTGTTTGTACCACAGACACCAACGTTTCTCAAAAGTCCTCAAACGTCTTTCCCCTGTTCAGCCCAAACGACTGGATCATAGCGGGACTGTTGGCGCATTTTCACTTTTTCAACTTTTTGACAGTGATATGGCGTAGTAAACTACAGTCCTGCAATAACGCTGTCTCCTCTAACATAGCTAGGGGTGCCACTCTTTGAGCGTGGGGACTTTTTTACTGTGCCTGCAGCCTCTTCCTTGCCTCGATGTTTTACCCATGACGGGCTGGCGCCACTCCACGTGAACCTACAACAGCTTTTCAATGGGTTCAGGGCGTCTCCCCGCCTGTAGATAACCTTGTAAATTCATGTGGACTTAGAGCGCCGCTCTGACTGGCTTTTGTGATGTGCTCTTTGATTTACGTGACGTTGCGCATTAATCAAATTACGGTGCGCTAAATTTATGAAGTGCTTAGAGGATGGGTTCTCGGGCACGTCCGGGCCAGCCAATGTCAATACCTGCCACTGCATTGCGCAAACCTGCCTATTTTAATAAAAAAGGGCCTATTTTAAAGTTTTTTTCAGAAATATGGCGGGCGTAAAGAGCGAGTGCTTCGCATTAGAAGACACCATGCAAGCTGGGAGCCAATGCCGCACTTTTCCACGTGCTTAACACAAAACAGATTTATCGCTGGACATAATCCCTTTGACCTGTTCGCACGCAGCCCTTTTAGCGCCTCTACTGGCCTAAGCGCATAGCCATCAAGGCTGGAGAAAGGCATAGAGGCCTAGGATGTGCATCACAGAGTCTTGAGTGGCATCACGGATAGTCTCAGCTTTGGCCGCGACGCCCTGCCCGCCGAACAGCCAGCCAGGGAAAACAATCTCTCTTGCTTGTTGACCACAGTTTGGGTATGAGTCTGACCAATGTCTGAACCAATATGAGCTTTCATCGTGACATTTTGGCTGTCACCAGGGTTATGATAAGTCTTGCTGATGTTTAGCTAATATCTCTTGCAGCAGGTCACCGATGTGAGGAGTTTCTTTGCCGAAGTTTAAATATTTTCACATGTGCTGAGGGTGATTCACGTTGTACCCCATAAGGTCGCTGCATAGCGGCTGGCTAGACAAGCGACGTTTTCATACTCCGTGCCCAGCCGTCACAACTGTGAAAAACCATGATGATGAGGATTTGTGGAGTGCCATGGGGATAATGAAGAGCAAGTGCCGCCACTGTATCTTGGCTCCCGAGCACTGGGCATGTGACCAGTAACCATGCAACATACCAAACATTTCAGCTCGTGCTACAAGCGCAGAGCTTATGAGACTCGTTACTGAGGGTTAACTGGCAGTTGTCTGAGAGGCTGACTAGCAGCGGACAGTCGCGTCATGACGAGCGTCACACGTTGTAATCCTTTGGGAAACATGTCCGTCCAACTGGAATTAATCTACAGGGCTGGTGGGTCGATGTGTTAAGCTGGGTTTAGCAAGGACACTGGTTCCAGCAGTCACCGCTGCAAAGCAAACAGCCAAATTCACTTGCATACGGGATCACACTGTGATCCAAATGTTAGCCTTCGCGGTAACTGCGCATTCCTTTCCCGATCGCCATCAGGTCTTCATATGCATGGCGGTGACCAAATTTTTGTATGTGCAAACATACATACGCTGCGATTATCTAAGCAGCTTAATGGATAATTTACAGATTGAACTGCGAGCAACGTCATATGGTAACATGCACCTAAATTCATTTCGGTCAATGAAACGTTTGTTGCCTTAAACCATCTTAATAACCTACATTCAGGCTTTGAAAAGGAAAAGCAGAGCCTGCTGACACTGGATCTCGGTGCCCGAATGCGTCTTAACCTGCTCTGTGGAAATGCAAGGTGGGTTTCCGACCATACAAAGTACACTCGTGCCCAACCCATGTCCGACAGCTTGGCAGCTGAGACCCTAAGGGCAAAGCACCAGGCAGCTTAGTTGTTGCGCAACAGCGCAAGGAACCGAAAACTCAAGAGCAGCAAAGATAAAGTCTGTTTTTTTGGGGGGCAGGTTAGGTCAGGGCGCCCTCGGCTGTCGCGGACCGTTTCAGGGCTTTGGCGCTAGGGAGAGAGATAAACGGGACGCGGGTTATCCTGCGCCTCTACGTTTGTCGCTGGCCGTTTCATCGGCTCTGCACCAGGGAGAGAGATATACGGTGTGCCGTCACGCTGCGCCTCTGCCCAGCTGCCTCTGTCGCCGAGCTTTCACCCTCACAAGGTGGTCAAACCGCGGCTGTGCGGGCTCCCAATCGGGGCGGTAGCTATGCTGGCATGCGGTTCACGGCCGCAGCACGCCCCGGCGAGGCCGAGCGTTGAGAGGATCTGCTAAGGAAGAGGTCAGAAGGTGGCTGTTCCGGAACCAGAGCATGCATATTGACTTACAACCGTTTCATCTCATCATCTCTTAGTCCATCGACAGATTGGTCCCAAAGGAAACATCATGATCGTTGGCGTACAACCATGTTAGTAATCGCAGCTTGGAACATTTCTGGTAGCTTTTAGCTCCGAACCCACGATGTTGCGACTTGTAGACTCACACTTTGACGAGAACGCTACCTGTAATGACCGACCGCCGGCAACTCCCTCCTCGATGTTGTAGTGGATGGAGCAGTGCATAACTATGGCATAATGGTGTTGCGCAAATGCAGAGGCTGCCGATGGGTCGGGTCTGACCTACACTCGCTGCCGAGACTGGCGCAGCCTTGAGCAAGATTGGTCACCTCACTTCGCAGGCATGCGTCTAATGGAAGGAAGCATTGCTGCGACATCAGACTACGGATTAATGAGGCCTCTATCCAGGCTATTTTGAAAGACTGCATAACGGTTTATACATGGAAGCGATAGCGATAGCGATACATGGTAGCTGCCAGATGTCAACCGAACCCAGACCTCACTGCCCTGGAGACATCACTTCGAACTTTATCTTCCGAAGCGAGAGCGTGGGAGGTTGGCTCCGGCAGCGGGCGGGTCCGTAACTGGACAGTCGAGAGCCTGAGGCACGGAGCCCGACTGTCTGGGGTCAGAAGGTCAGCTGCGGCCAGGTGGCCGGTCCGGGTCGGAAGTTTGGGACCCTGTCAAGACGGATACAGTGGAAGAAAGAAGGTTCAGGAGTGGGGGTTCCCGACAAGATCCAGTTTGAATGGCACAAGACTCGTTATCTCAGCACGGGCTATCACTGTGCGCTCGCAGCCTACGCCTCTACACCTCAAATCCATTTTTCGTCGCTTCTTCCTCGTCCTGCCGTGTTGGGCATAGCGCGGCGCTGCTGTGTGGTCCACGCTGCTGAAGCGCAAGGATCTGGTGAGGGTTGTACAAGCTTCATGTGGACGCCCTCAACATATTTGTGGTGCCTAGCATTCTGCAGGCATGTTCGGCTGCCAAATCCAAACTTTTGGCAGTAAAACAGTGGAGCGGCTCATTAAATTCTCAGCGGAGGTAGCCAGCCGTCAAAGTCTCTGGAACTTGGGCGGCTCCAAAGTTAGAAACGAGTTAGTTGTGCACGGACACTGACCATCCCAAAAATGGTCAACCGTCAGACGTCGCATGGATGTCGCGCCCTCAGATCGGTCCTAATATCATCGTTTCGTAGGTTTATTAATCCGGGTTCTATGGCAGAGTGTTCCTTTGGTCATTTCCGGGCGCTGTTGAGGGCGATTTGGACGGTTTCGCCTCAGAACTAGTTAGATTTAGTTTTGATGTCGGACGCACCACGTCGTCTTTGCTCGGAAAGCACATCACGTCGATTTTGCAGGATGAGACAGCGTCGTCTAGTGGCTGTATGGTGTAAGAGCCCAGAAAGGTGAGAGGCCTGGCTGCCTGAAGTAGGGCTTGTGGTTACAGATAATCGTTTCTCAGAAAAGTTTCAAGAGGGCGAGGCGGGAGGAGTCTTTGGCGCAGGTACATTCGAGGGAGTGCCATGAGCACTGCAACTCGATGGGCGACCGTCTGCCCGCCCATTGACAGAGACGAGCAAGGGCCAGTGATGCATGACAAGACGCCGATCTCACGAGCGAAGAGTTGCAGAGGCCAGCAGCCGGCGCAGAAGGAGAGATGACAGCCGGTGTCGAGGTTATACAGTGTTTATCAGGTTTATCAGGGCAAGCTGTACCGTAATTGACGACTCCATCGTCCGTGATAAGAGGTCAAAGGGTATCGAGGGCAGGTTTGAATCCGTATCGACATCCGCGTCGTCCATTTTGCTTTACTTTGGTAACAAAATTCCATGGCGGGGAGCAAACCTAGCGAAAACGTATTGGACGAATGTGATTGGGGATCCAGCAACGAAATGAAAGACGCGAGAAACAGATCTGGGATTTCTTTGAAAGCGTGCTGGGCGCAACAGAGGTAAAAATACAAACACACACACTAAAGCGGATTTAGCCTGGCCTAGGATTCGGAATAAGGCTTAGGTTCCTCGAAACTGCTTCCCCCAGGTCATGATTTGAGGTCATGCACATCTAAGATAACATTTGTTTAACGTATCAATAACCCAGCAAGCGCATTTGGTGCCTTGAGCACCACCGCAAACGCGTGATTCAGATGTGCGTTCGTTTTTACCTTGAAGGAAAATCGCTGTTGGTCCGATCTCCAGATACTGGCGGCCTGCGATGTTGCCCAATTGATGCGCCATGGCCGACGGCGCCTAGATCGCCACCTATCGGTGACAGCGATCTCTCCAAGTGGCGCTCGTCGCTGCTAGGTGGAGGACGTGGGCTTTCGTGCCGGCTGCCGCCGCCAGATGTCGGCCCCAGCCGCCGGCGGTCGCCACCGGACGTGTCTGTGTGAGGACTGCAGCTGCCGGCCGTGCCGCTGCTACTGCTGCTGCTGTCCGTTCCGCTACAGGTGGTGCTGTTGTAGCCGCTGCTGAACAGCTCGGCCGCTACACCGCGCCGGATGGTCAGGTCCAGGTGCTGCGCGAGCTTCAGCACGTACACCGCCTGAGGATCAACCCACCGTCAGGTCACGCACCGACGCTCCTGTATTCGGCTTCAGCACGTACACCGCCTGAGGGCCATCGCGCTGTCAGGTCACGTACACCGCCTGATGGCCAGCCCACTGTCAGGAGACGTACACCACCTGATTGCCAGCCCACTGTCAGGTCACGGGTCGACGATCCTGTACTCGGCTATGCACGAAACACATGGGGTTTAATGGGGGCCCATGAGTAATGAGGCGGCGCGCACTTGAATACTACAACGTGAGCGGAGTTATCATTGAGGTGAGTGGAATTATCATCATGTTATCATATTGGATGCATAGTTCATGAGGCAGCGCTCAATCCCGGTCCAGTTTGAACGGACTAGCGTCAGATAAATTTGTGTGAAGCCCTGATTCACTCAGCTTTTTTTGTTTTTGTTTTGTTAATTTAACACGTCGGCATTCCACCCGTTATGGCACATGGGCTAGAATAGCAGAACAATGTCAACAACGGTAAGCCAAACCGTACAATAAAGTATGTGCAGTCAAAGAAGAACCTTGTACGTTCCTGTCCCGCCAACCAGCGAGATAATCTAGCAAAGCGTCCTGTATATGGCACTGTAATATGAAGCCCACAAACATTAAACTGCATAGTTGCCCATGCATTTGAACGAAAACCGCTGTCACAGAATGATGATAACACTCCTGGAGAGCACAGTGACTTTTACATCGATGGTCATTCTAGTCACTTCAATGTGACAATAATGTAGAAAGTTACATGATTAGGAAAGACCCATGACAGTAATGAGGAAAGGCTACGTTATTATGAAGAATTCCCACCTTTGACTTCTCAACGGACTTTCGCAGTCCCGTGTTGCGGAGGGTTAAAGCGCTCAAATACAGCGTTCTTAGGTGGTTTTTGCGAAAGTTTAAGTGCATTTTTAATATATTTATTGATCACAGATGATGGAGTATGCTATGGAAGCAAATGGGCAATATGGCAGGCTATTCAATTTCACGTTTTGATTGGCTCAGACTACAGCTCTTTCGGTCGCTGATGACTATTTCAGGGCTGTCGGATTTAGAAGAGAAGTGAGCAATAGGGGCAAGACCACGACTGCCGTATGAAGCCTCTGTGAACAAGCCCTTACCCCACACGGCGATCCTTGCTCAGAGGTCGGAGCTGTTACTGCCGCCGGGGCGGCCGTGAACCCGGCTGGTGTCCGCGGCGTGCGCCGGAAACGCCCCGTGCTGGCAGGATTCATGACAAAGCGGCGAATCCAGCAAACAAAACGGAGTTCCCTCGCGCATTAATACTGCGGTAGGACCCACCTTATTCGTGAATGACATGGAAAGATTGCACGTCATGGAAGCAGAGCAATCGACATTGGGTCTTATCTCTGCTTAGCCAGATAAATTTGTCCTCAACCAGGTATGGTGCGTCTCTTCCACTGGCGGATCCAGGGAGCTCCAGGCACCAACGCTCCAGCACTTTTGGCCAGTTTAGGACGTCAGGAAGGCATTTTAACCATGATAAATGTGCCCTCGAGGCATTCTGATGGGATCCTGGGCCTAAGACGGCCATCCGAGTCGTAAACCAGGACCCCTATGGCAGGGAATCGGAACTCCCTTGACTGAAAAAGTCCCTAGGCCCCGATTTGCCCCCCCCCCCCCGCCCTCCCCTTAGTGCAATGCTGACCACGCCACCGGTCTGCACCCGCAAATGATGTGCCGGACGACAGAAGCATGACAAATGGCATGATCTGCAACGGCGTCTGGGGGTCTTGGCGCCCGTAGATGTTTTGTCTGAGACAGCTGCTAGATCAGCCGGTTATGAGTAATACTGCATAGCCATTTGCCAGAAATAGACTGGTTTCCATTTCTAATAGTCCCATATGCAAATAATTGCCTCCAACATGCCCGATATGGCTACGGAGTCAAAGGGTTTGGCACATGAAGCTACAATATTGCGAGAGCTACTTTGAACCATGTAGTATCTTCTTTGCTGTCACGTGTTCATTTTTCACAATGCAGCGCGTGTACAATGTATATACTTTTGAAACGGACCTTATGAACGCGCGTTACACTTATCATCTACCAATACCTTGTTTTGGCGGCATGACAGACCGTAGCATTACAACTCTATGAACGAAAAAAAGGCAGAAGAAAAGCGGAAGGTGCTTAAGTTGCAATCCCATGGCTCGCACATGTCCGTGTCGAAGAGCTGCGTTCTGAAACGCTCCTTTTCGTCTTCGCCTAACAGTATTGGTTGGAAAGCATTTTTGGTCACCTCAGTCTCTTCAAACCGCAAATACTTCTGTTTTGGTGGTTTCTTTTCCACCTGCCCTTATGAATCACGTGCCACTTTAAAATGCATGCGTGCAGACGCGGATATTGTAAATGAAAAACAGGCTTAGGTGCGTTCGCAACGCCGAGAAATGTTTAAGTCCAAAAGCAGTTTCGCCTCCTGCGAAATCCCAGTCACAAATGCATCGTTGATGTTATCCACGGCTTGGTGTCGTTGAACAACAAAATGGCAAACCAGTATGCTAGGTTTGGGACTGCACTATAATAATGTTAGCCCAAATGATGCAGTTGTGATATATTTCATTTGGAACGATGTTCAAGAACGCCGATTCCTCTGTGGATTATTATGGATCCCTTTACGAGCTCCAACATTGCACACGGGGCTCTGCTCTCTTACTGAGCTTTCTGACAATTACAAAAGGAGTACAGTGCACTTGTGCAAAGAGGCGTTCTTACTCCTGAATCTGCGGGAGCAATTGTAAGTGCCCACATTTGCCACGCTTCAAACAACATAGCTACACCAAGTAGTTGCACTTATTCAAACTGCTGCTGCAAAGCTGGGCGCTTCAATCTTGGAACCAATCCTGCTAATGTTCTGGGCGCGGCGTCGTCGGCCGGGCGGGACGGGCGTCCAGCGCCGGCAGCCGACGCCGCTTGCCGCGGACGGAGCCGCGGGACTCGGCCGTCACCAGGCGGCCGGCCGCAGCGGCAGACGGTCCCACGGCGTGCATTACCGGGTCCGGAGCCCCGCCTGCCCCCGTCCAGATGCGCCCCGTCACTTCGGAAATCCATGCCGGCCCCTGGCTCCGTCGGCGCGGCTGGCCGCGGCTAACGGATATCGATGGAGCAGCTGCCGCACGTGCGCCGCAAAAGAAAGCATCGTCGAGAGTGTGCCTGGTGCCCGCCGATGGCAACAGTCGAGCGAGGTACGCTCGCCGAGAATGGACACCGTGGATGTATCGAGGCTGCATTTCTCCAGCTACGAGCTGATTTGCCTGGATTCCGGATCAATGCCCCTGCCGATGCATACAAACGGCCACGACCAGCTTAAGACGGGTGTTGACTTCTTATCTTAATTGAAAACGCATGATTGGCAGACATTCTGCCGATCAGTTGTAGGTTTGAGATATTCCAGCCCTTAAGTGTCGGTAAAAACACGCTTTCTAGGCTACATCCAAAGGCTCTCACAAAGGGCTACAAATCAGCATATGTCTTCCATGGCGAACGTGAGGCCGCACTTTTCAGCACTTTGTAGCCGAGAATAAGAGTGTGCCACAAATATGACCGGTGATTGGTTCTGATAACACTATCACCCGATTGGCCGTGAACGTTGTCCCTTCCACTGATACCCTGTGTTCGGCTAACGTGCGCCGATAATACGGTCGTCTATATCCGAGCACCAACCGCCTACCACGAGTCCCAAACTCGGTACAAACGACCGACTCCGTTATGATAAACCTCATTCACAATTCGCGCAGGGCGTGGGGCAAAGCTGCATTGCATGATCGCCATAAATATCTCGCATGACAACAAATGAACTAAAATGCAAACAAACAGCTCTGCTACGTCTCGCAATAAATGAAGCGAGCGGATTGGGGTGGCTATAAAAGCTCTGGAGTTCCAACAGCTGACTCCAGAGGCCATCGGATGACACCGATGGCCTCTGGAGTCGGCCATCGGTGCCATCTTAAACGACGATGGGGATATGATGCCATCAAAAACGACAAGTCTTCATGAAAGCGAGTCTCAGGCTGAATGGTTGGTTAATCCTTCCCAGAACGCGAATGTACGCGCCGAATCACCGAAATACCCGGGACCATGAAGGCGTTATCAAGCTTGTAAGACACGAGTACTCGTGAGTTTGTATCGCTCCGGCAGTTGACACCGCCACTACGACAAGCCAGCTAGAACGTCCAAATCTACAGCCACACCGTGCCGCGCTGGCCGGCCCATAGCTCCCCCCCCCCCCCCCTTTCCCTCATCCGATCCCCGCGCTGAGGGGCCCCGGCCGTCAGCGTGCCTGCCGGCGCCGCTCCTACCTTGGCGAAGTCGATGTCGACGAAGCTGACGCCGTTGCACTGGATGATCTGGTCGCCGGGCCTGAGGCCCACCTCTCTGGCCAGGCCCACCTCTTTGATCGACTGGACGAACACGCCCGGCCAGCCGGCGGGACCTTTGCAGATGCTGCGGCACAGAGCACACCACGCGTCAGTGTCAGCGGCGGTGTCAGTGTCGGTGTCGGCGACGCCGGCCGATCTCCGGCCAGCAGTGTGGCGCCGCTGGGACGGCTCGAAGCTGCGGTACCCGCCCCTGTTGTGACTCGGGTGTATGCAGAACCGGCGGATAGCGACAGGGGACCGTCACAAGCCAGCTAGAGCTCTTTTGCAGCCGGAACCTTGGTACGGTTCCGGCCGCAAACAAAAAGGCAAATGTTTGACGCCACTGGCTGTCGCAGAACTCTGCCTGACACATCCGGCTTGCTTTTCTCCCGTCAATGATGGAAAAGTCATCCGTGGTCGGTTTCGTTCGAAATATCGACTGTGCAAGCAGGAGGGTGAGAGAGAGCACCGAAAATATTCTGCATCTGGCGGTCATGCCAATGCGAATGGTCACGCTCGATCTAATAGGCATGCACCAGGCGTGGCAGCGCTTGCAGGAAAGCGGAGGAGGGAACCTGACTGGTAAAGTAATGTTGTGAGGAATATCAGTCGTAGAAACAGAGCCAGGGGCAGAGGTGGAGACTCCTCGTATCTGTTAAGTATACGTTGAGGCAGGCTTAGCTGAGAAGTGACTGTGATAATCGCGTCCAAGACACACATCGCTGCCAAATTATCCGTGGTTCATGCGTGACGGGTAATGGGGCACAATCAGCTGGCTGTACGCGGTGCTTGCGCTTAGCACAGCAATTGCGGTATCAACTGCCGGAGGTGGTTTTTAGTTTACCTGGTAAAGCTGCGGCCCATTTCATTATGCAGGGTATTGACGCATCACTGGATTAAGACAGGACGATAGCAGGTGTGGGAATGCTGCCGCCCTCCTGCATTCACCGCAAACCTAGAGGCTCACCACAAAGGGAGCAGCGCCGCCTGCTAGGAGGAAGTGTGCAGGCCCCCAGACGGTACAGGCAGACCTGCGGCATCTCCCCGCTAGACGTAGGGGGGTGGGGCTGTAGACTCCCGGTGTGTCAAGGAGTGTGAGTGAGAAGGACTGCGCAGACCAGACGCCGGGGGCGGATGGCAGGGAACAGGATAAAGGGAACTGTTGCTGTGCTGACCCTGGCCCCGCCCTGTCCACGTTACTTTCGCTGGAGGAGCCAATGGCATGCAGACTGGCTCACCCATACTTACCGGTACGTAGGGGCATTAGCAATGCATAGATCGACTACGCAATCATCTTAGGTGCAGACGGCTGGATGTCTGTTCAACTACACTCGTGAGAAATAACTACCTAGGTCTTAGCATTCTCCCAAAAGCTTGGCTACCCTCTCCCCTACCGGGTCCAGGGACCTGTAGATACACAACTAAAAGGGTTCACCCCAGAAACCGAGCTGGCGCGCCGCAGAAGCGCATAATTTCTTGTGCATCTTGAAACAACATCACATGCTCTCGCTATTCTCATTTGCGATGTTTATCTAGAATCTTAACTCGACATTAAGTCGTGTGCTTATCATTTAACGCCATAAATTTGATAGCAATGAGGCGGAGGTGCGTGCTAGCTGGGCTTCATATGTGATAGCACCCTGCCCAATCCATATTTTTGGCTGTTCACCCCGCAAGTGTCGTGCTACCAGGCAAAATGAATAATTCATTAACGTCCCAGGACGCCTCAAGGGCGTGGCTTTTTTAGATCATGTGGCTTCGGCGATAATATAGTGTCACTGCCAGCTATAAATCAGAGGCCTCGAGGAAAGTAAGCAAAAAAACCGCAAAGACAGCAGCGACCATGAAGCATAACGAAAAAGTGCTTGAAGCCAGGCGACATACCTGCCACCTTACAACAATTTTGTTCAGAGTTGATCATCTCTGAAAGTATCGAAAAAAGAAAGAAACATCGACAGAAAGACCACTGACAATCCAAATAATTACAGATTGTATGAGTACTACATTAGCATGTGAACCTGCATCAAACACCTCGCGTCACCATGTCTGCCTGAACACGGCCAGGTACAGCGGCGACGCTGTACCCGGCCGTGTTCATATCATATCACATATTCATCTCGCTACCCCCCCCCCCCCCCCCCCCGATGTCACGCCACAACGGTAACTGTGATATTCGTAATCTGATGTTCTGCCCCAGCTTAGCAAGCAGATCGGAATGAATCCTTTGCGTCTGGAGTCTCGTGCGTGCTTGTTATGGACCTGCTTGTCTTCCCAACCGGAGCAGTGAAAGAGCGGAGCCCGGAAATAAGACCATGCAAAGATCAAAGATTTCCTGAAATCGCGTTTTTTGCCGTGCAGTGGCACAAAAAGCAGTGCTCCACTTTTCATTTCTAGCTGTCATGCTCTGAGATTAGATTCCGATGCCGTCTTGCGCTGGTGACGTTCTGCCCGTCACAGTCAATAGCATGCCTGCGCCACATTCGTATCATGCGGTGCTTCGATTATCTCGCAGACATCCGCTGCAGATCCAGACGGTGGCGGAGACTGGTCCACATACCCAGCCCATGCTCGATGTGAAACCATAGGGCTCTCCTACCCTGCTAAAGATGGAAAGATTGAACAATCAGACTCCTGGCGGCGACATAACTTGCCGAGGAGTCACATACTGATGATCTATTTTCCTCTGCACATGTGAAGCTGACGGGTTGAAATCAATGGTGGCGCCCGGCATTATATTAACCAGTTTTCCTCGTCTATAGATCCTGCGTCATTAAAAGCCCAAATATGTGTATTGATGCGAGAGTTCTAATGAAAAACAATCAAAACCACTCAATCAAAACACTGGAAATGACCATATGTAGAATCGACGAAGAGTACCAAACTATTGTGTTGTTTAGGATCGATAATTGCTATTGATCTATCAGGTGGGAGAAAATGTCGAAAAAAGAGCATGCACGCGCACACCAGCTTACGTTGAGCATGCCATGACGTCCCCTACCCATAATGCCTGCTGCAGAATTGCACTACCTAAAGATGTATGGCTCGCAGCCGAAATATCCACAAGCACTATGCCTCTGTTCACCCTATGCCTCGTCCTTTCGGTGAGGCATGCGTGCGTTCACTTTGGTTATAGTAACTTAGCATCTCAATTCGGTAAAAAAGCAATTCATCATAATATTTGAACTAATTTTGACCTTGCCTTGTACATACCAATTACGCAACTACACGCACGCCTCGCTGAAAAAAGCGTGGGCAAAACAGAAATCGAGCGCCTTTAGATACGTTTAGGAGAGTGCAATGATGTAGTCAAGTGGAACGTTATGATAGCTTTATGTAAGAAACCATCGTGTGTACACACCTTTTGTCAGAGTTTCTTCTAACTGATGGATGAGTAACAATTCATGATGTTTCAACAGTGAATATAAGAGCTGAGGATTTATGTTTATGTTATGCTTTTGACCGTCTTCATTGCTCTGTTTCAGAGTGCCTTATGGCCCATGAATCGCATCACTTCACCTTTTGTGTATGTTTTCATGGCACTTTGTATTTATGTACAAGGAAAAACGTTCAGTTAAAACCATATTATTGCTGCATGTTCCTCGTAAGTGTACTATTTCTCGCGTGTTTTGAAGGAATCCTTGCCTGTCTTGGAAATAATGCTGGAATCCCTACGTGGGTTGGAATGTAAATGATGGAACATAATTGGAACCCCAGAATGTTGGAACAGTATCAGGCTCGCTGTACTTTTAGGCTTCGTTAACGTTGGCGTCTATATCACCGACGTATGGCTGGCTGGTTTACCGTCTTCCATCAGTCATATGTCAATCCCTAAGTTGCCCCATGCCCCATATGTCGGCATAAAATGCCCCATATGTCGGCATAAAACGCCAAAGAGTATTGTGCAAGGCAGACAAAGCAATAAACTCTCTATCTGACTTGGTGAACACATTTTGGTACCTGCAATCGCTCCGTGCCTTCCTGTACGTCAGAAGACATTTGCGGCTTTTACGAGAGCATTGGCTACTGGGGCTTCACGTCCGTTGATATTCATCTTTCCCTTAATGCACGCTACGTACAAGGCCCATGCCTGTCCTCACTGGCTGGTTGTTTGGACGGGGGGCACAGTATTTGTTAATTGAACCGACAAACAAGTGCTGAGGTCAGCACATGTAGAAGTTCTGCCGCTAGGAATGCATGCTCATGTTAACCCCTCCATTTTTAACGTGATACGTATGTGTCATCTGTTTTGTCCTTCGTGCCAGCGAAAGCAGCATGTTTGTCGCACCTGCCTGCCGCTCGACTTTCATTTTACCGTCGGGCATTCCTGCCCACCAGGGACGGTCCGCAGATATGGTAAACACCTTGTTCGTCCCCCTGTTTACGAGTCTGACAAGTAACGTCACGTACGAGACTGCCAGCAGTTCTTCGTATTTTTCTCGAACACCCCATGCAAGGAATCCGCATGGGTTTCGTTCAGCTTTTCAAAGTATCCCTTTCGAGCCTTTTGAATTGGTAGATTTCTGGGATCACGTTCTACTTTAAGCACTTAAAGTGTTTGTTGCGTGAGCCCTGTTTCTCATCATCCCTTCGTGAAATTGCACCGCCATGAAATGAAACGCCGTGTAATGCTAATGGCAGGATTTGGGGACGCAATTTTGACGTGCCGCCATGGTTGGAGCGATCCGTCCCCAACTCTGACGTCATCAGACGTTTAGGGTGGCGGCGACCATCAGTCGCAGGCCACGCCGTGCAATGGCAAATAGCGAGCGCCTAAAGTGACTCGAATCCCACCCCACCACGGGAAAGTACATAGAGAATCAGATGCCTCAGCCACCAGAATTGTCGGGACGGACGTGGAAAATGGCGAAGCTGTCGGAGATGGCGCTTGTTGGTTTTCCACACAATCATCAACAAAACGAAACATATTTCATCTTTAGCCTTGCAAAAGGTGTTTAATACAATGCTTCCTAGCCTTCCTAACATTTGCTACTGACCTGACCTGCTGCTTGGTGGCGTCACTAACGCCACGCGAGCGAAGTTCATTGCTCAGGCAGATAGATGGAACTGTATTTGCTTCCACCTCAA